CCCAAACCCACCATACACAGTTATATTGTTTCATTCCAAGTCCCGGAATTCTTCAGCCACCGCCCCAGGTCCGGGATGTGATGCGGTTGAAGCCGAAGGAGTCGCTGCTCTTTGCAGGTGTTCCTTGTTCGCTGTGCTTTGGCTTTGAAATTTCGGTAATTCTGTTCCTAACTTGGCTGTCTATGGCTCCGAGATGTCAGTATCTAGATTCAGGTGGATATTCATGTCCAGCTCGGTTCACCAAAGAGGAGGCCATGATGGGTACCACGGCAATACTGAACATGCTTCGGTGAGAGCAGCGAACTGCATAGCTGCACGGACGGCTCTGCTTCTCCTTCTAGCATTCGTGCTTGACATACCATGGTGTGCCATTCGGTTGTAATATTAGTACACTCTGTGTTTGCAGGGTTTATACAAATTTATACTAAGCTTATATTAATAACCCTTGAGCCGATCTTGAAGCGAGTCCCAACCTAGGTGGAGCAGCCAGGGAGTTCGGTGCTCCATTTGTTCAAGCCCTTCAAGTACATTACACAGGTTTGTGGACCCGTGTACTACAAGCGATTCCCATTGGGGGCTTACGGGCATTTTGCTCCAAAGCAAACATGGATCCTGGCTTGAACCAAAGTAAAATATTAAGTTTATGACTTTATTTAGTTTCCTTAGATGGTGCAGTTTCAGGTTGCTGGGAACGTCCCTGGTGGTGAATTTCTTCGACCGAACTCTTTCCAAGCAAGACCGCCAGGCTTTACTCAGGAAGCAAAAGGACGAAGGCTCCCAAATGGTCAAGAGAGTCAAGAAAAACGGGAAGTTGCAAGTCACTGGTCGCGCACCCCTGAAATGGAGCATGCACTACCCGAAAGAATTCTGCACTACGATCCTTCAAATGTGGGAGAAGTCGCAGGAAATGGCTTCCGGGACTGCACTCTTCCTTTCTTTCTGCTCTGGGGTTGGCCGGGCGGGGGGGTGGGAACCTAGGGGCCAAAACCAGACTAGCAGCCGAGGAGAACCTCAATCTCGACGTGTTGGCGCAGAATCTCCTCCTCCACGAACATGACGAGCTTGTGCCTGGGCTGGGTGCATCATAGCTTCGAGTATGAACCTAGCTAGTGTCACCATCTGGGGCATTTCGATCCTGCTTTGCCGATTGGGGCTTCAGGTCCTGCATTGAGGGCTTCCAGAGCTAGACGTAGATCCTACAGTAGAAGCCAGAAAGTTGGAACATGGGTTTAGGAGGATTTGTGCTAGTATACTTAAGGGCACGAGGGTAATGATATGTTCCAACTATCTGGCTTCTACTGTACGGGCCTGTGGGGTCAAGGGTGATCTTTCTTCGAGGCCCTAAACCCTAAACCCTACACCCTAAACCCTAATAAACCCTAAACCCTAAACCCTAATGTATTTGTTTCTGTATATTTAGTTAGTATATTGTAATTATTCTTACAGCATTTATTATAGTCTACGAGTATGAATATATTTATGTAGATATATATACATATATATATATATATATCTATGTACGCACATATCGTATATATATATATATAGTATATTATATGTAGACTATATATAGCTAGATATTAGTTACATGTATATATGTGTGTGTACTGCTAGTAGGCTGTATATATCTGTATTTAAGGTGTGTATATATATATATGCATGTATGTGTATATATATATATACACATGTGTTTTTTACTTGTAACATTAATAGGTTATAGTGCATGTAGATATATCATATTAGTATAGTACTTAAGTATATATATATATATACATATGTATATATATATATATATACATTTACAGACATACATACATGCATACATACATACATACGTACATACACACATATATACATACATGCATACATGCATACATACATACATACATACATACATACATACATACATACATACCTATACACATACATCGCTATGCAAGGTATCTGTAATCTAGAGATGTATCTGTTTCTACTTAGAAGGAGGTCCCCAGTCATTCCTAGGCTTGCAACAATCATGATTTCGACACACTCGGGTCTCCAGCTACTCTTGCTGCTGTTGTCTTGTAACTTAGTTAGATTTAAGCAAGTTTCGGGTTTCTACCATAAATGGGTTTGCCGGGCTTCTAAAACTGTGCTCCGAGGTAGACTGTGATTGGAGCTGTGCTGAGCTATCGCAACTGGAGGAGTTTTTGGTAGCAGAGGCTGCACAAGGCTCTTGGACCCCAGGCCTCCTGAGCACATTCAGCTCATCCCAAATGTGAGTTGTCGTGATGATCCAACAGCTGCCATCAGATATTAGCTTGCTGCTTGCTTCCGGGGATGACTGTGCACTAATTATACTTCGAACACTGTAGATGTTCGCATCGACGACAACAGGCTGGCTTGAAATCCGAAAATAGATCTAGATTCCTAAACGCCTCAACCCTGAACAGCAGCATATGCTCCTAAAATCTAGAACCCTAAAACCCTGGGCCCGAAACCTTATAAAGAAAAGGTTTGGAATCAGTGGGTGTGCGGGCAAATCTTACCATGTGACCCTAGTATTGGAGATGTTCAGCTAGTGGTTCCCAGAAATTGTTGTGTTAATTAAGCAGATCGAGATAAGAAGCCTCCCGTATGGCTAGGATTCCAGCCTCAAAGGGTTTAGGGTTAGGGGGGTTTAAGGTTTAAGGGGCAGCCAAGGCCTTAAAGGGTTTAGGGTTAGGGGAGTTTAGGGTTTAAGGGGCAGCCAAGCCCCAATTCAGCTGTCGTCAGCCCATCCGAGTGCCCAGATCATGTGCCAGTGCCTTCGATGGAGGGTTTTTTCGGCTGGCTTTCAGGGGCAACAGTCCGCGTGATTTCGCGTGATTTCGCGTGATCCTTGATTTGCTCGTTAATAGGATCATATTAGGAGGCCCAGGAGACCCGCGTGATTCCGCGTGATTTCTCGTGACCCCTTGGGGCGTGCTGCGGGCTCGACCTAGATTTTCGCGAATCCCTGCGAGCATGGCTTCTTCTAAGGAGGAAATCCCTGAGGAGGCCTGCTGGTGGGGATAAATTATACAGCATAATCCAGCCCTATAGTACAGCTGCAGGTGGCAGCGGCTGCTTTAGCGGCTGGCCGCAGACGACAAGCTCTTGCAAAAGCAGCGCTACAGCAGATGCCGCCCCCGGCAACCCCGACTAAGGGAATGAAGCCAGCTACTCCAAAGGTGGAAGCCACGAAACGGCCCCGAGCAGCGAGGACAAGTCCCTGCAGTGCCACACCCAGCACCAAAACCCCTGATCCCAAACAGCTCAAAACGGACCCGGAAGCTCTGAGCACCCCAAAGAAGACTTTGTTCGAAAGCGAGACCGGCGGCTTGGTTGTAATGTCGCTCTAATATATATATATATA